CAACGTTTTCCCCCATCACTAGTATTCCAACTAGAAAGGTGGTCTGGTCCATGTTATTTCTCAAAAACTGTGCACTGCCCTCACCCGCACCTGCACACCATGCCCGTCCACCTGCTGTTCCGCCCACAGAGAGGCTCAGCCCCTGGCACCAACCTTGGGGTCTGTGCCCAAGAGCCCCTCCTCCAGGAAGCCCTCCCTGACCTTGAGTTTAGGGTTATTCCCCTCCTCCCCACCCTGGCAACACTTCCCCCGCCCCCCAAAATCCAACACACATTGTCACCATCACTCTGGTGGCTGTGAATGCCAGGAGCCCAGGGACCCCGTGAATGTCAGCCACCAGCATTCCTGTACTTGGACGGCGCTCACCCAGGGAGGGACGGACACCCAGATGTAGATAAATGAATAACAATGTTGTGAGAACAGCTTGGGCACTGTTCCAGAGGGTCTTTCTTAGCAGATTGTGATCTTCACAGCAGCTGTGAGGTGGGTGCTGCCAGTACCATTCCACAGATGAGGAAACTGAGGCACAGAGAGTCTAAGGCGGTGTAGTCAGTCAGAGCTGACAACAGATTCAGAGTCTGGCGCTGGATATGAAGGGGGGTGTCCTGGCAATGGAGGAAGAGCCTAAATTAAATCTGTCTATAGTTCCCATCTAGACCACTGAAGAAGCACTTTCTGCCCAGATTCTAGGGATGTGTTGTGGCACCACACATAGCCCAGTTATCTGTGCCTAAGGGCTCTCTAGAGGGGCTGGTTCCCCCAGGAGCTGTCAGAAAATCTCAAACTTGTAACCTCCAGAAGCAAGTACAGCCTCCCACCCAGCTGCTGTGGGCAGACGAGCTACCCTCAGGAGTTGGAGGGTGATGGGGACCTGGACAGGGAGGATGGGGACCTGGGGAGGTGAATTGGGACCCAGTGGTCTCTCACTTGCCCACGTTTCATGGGGCAGAAGGGGCCTTGACCCCTGGAACCCTGGAACCCTCAACCCAGGTACAGCCTCCCTACCAACCTAACCCCCTGCGGGGACATTCTGGCAGATGGCACTTGTCTGAGTCGTTTGCTGTGAGAACAAACCCTATCATGGACGAAGGCACGTGGTGAGCGGGCCTGGGTGGCCTCCCTCCGTGCTGGATGTAGAGGAAGGACAGAGCCGTCCTGTGTCCGAGTCTCAGCTTCTCTGAGATATACAAAGGCATTCAGCAATAACAGGAAGAGCTAGGGAAGAGTCACAGATCTGACCTAACCCATACCACACCCTACTGGACTGTCCTCACAGCTCTCTGGATCAACCTGGATCTTCCCCTGGCCAGGAGACTTGAGCAGGAGACCTGTCAGCTGGTCTAGCGCTAACATTCTGTGATTTGTTTGGAAACATCTTTGAGTTTGCCTCAAGAATTTCATTCTGACTTAGAGAATTGTTCTAATCTCTGTCACACTGATACTCCAACTCACTTGCTAGTTGACGTCTCCACAGCAGGGGCCAGGCATGCAGACTGTGCACGAGCCCTCAGGGTCCACTCCTGTGTGGTCCCCTCTACCTCTAAAGTGGAAAACAGCAGGCGTGGAGACCATAAATGTTTTGCCCAAGTTCACATAAAAGGCCTGTGGTCCTTTGTTGTCATCCAAGTGAAAAAAAGTTAAATTAAAATAAAAATAAAAGTCTGTGGTTAAACAAGGACATGGATCTAAGATCTTGAAACTGTACTGTGCATGTCCTTCTCTGTGGGTCCCAGAGGGAGACCAGAACCTGGGTTCACCGCAATCTCTCGCAGTGATGAGAGTCGTGTGTCTAGGTTGAATTCTTATTTTCAGTGAGTGAATCTCACACACTTTGAGTCTTCCCCAGAGTGTTTTGTTCCTGCAGGCCCACACTGGGCTGCTCAGACCATACTGCCACTGTCTCTACACTCCGATTGGGTGTTTTATTTTCTGGATAAATTATTAAGCCATAGAAATTACTGCAGAAACGTGCACTGTGCTTCCCCCATCAGGCAAAGCTGCACTTGCATCAGTGGGGGTAGAGAGCTAGGGCTGATGTCAACCACCGCACCAAAGGATTCTCTTATTCATGGGTTTCTTCTTGTTTGTTTTGCTTTGTTTTTGAGATTCTGAGAAAACTTGGGTTGACTTTTTTAAACCAGCTTGTTATTTAAAAACTGCTTATAAGCTAAGGAGGACTATAGGACTTCAGTGTGGCACCCTCCTGCCCTCCTGCCTCCTCCCTGTGGTCAGAGTCCCCTTGTTCTCATGGCCCTTCCCAAGGCACCTGCACCCAAGCCACTTGTCAGCAGCCCCAAGTGCCCAGGAGCTCAGGGTCATCCACCAGAGCTGAGTGGAGAGGAGACGGTTCCCGTCTGGGGTCCACTGGCTTTACAAGACCTTGAGAGCCGAGGAATGTGGCAGCCCAGGATGGAGGGGACAAGACGCAGAAGTGCTTCCTGAACTTCCTGCCTCTGGAGCTGAGAGACCTCTGATGCTCATGGCTAGGGACAGGCAGGTGGCATGGCCTCCGTGGATGCCACCAGGATGAAAGGACAGGAGCTCTTCAAAGACTTTGCCCATGAATGCATTTTCAGCTCTTTGGGCTCAAATTCTCTTGTAAACTTTTTCTTGATACCAACTTTTTTTTGATGAGTTAGGCTATGATTATGGGTTCACTGGTTGAAAGGGTAGGGCACACAGAATCACCAATGTTGGGATACTTCCTTAGAGAGGCGTTTAGGCGTTTCGTTAGCTGTAATGGTGGGGAGTACCCAGGAGTGTGGGGGAGAATACCCAGGAGTGAGGGAGAGTATCCAGGAGTCGGGGAAAGTACCCAGGAGTGAGGGGAGACTACCCAGGAGTGGGAAGATTACCCAGGAGTGTGGGAGAGAGTACCTAGGAGTGGGGAAAGGGTACCTAGGAGTATGGGGGAGAGTATTAAAGAATAGGGGACAGTACCCAAGTGTGGGGGGGGAGTACCTAGGAGTGTGGGGGAGAGTACCCGGGAGTGTGGGGGAGAGTACCTGGAAGTGGGGGGAAGAGTACCTGGGAGTGGGGGGAGAGTACCCAGGAATGGGGGGAGAGTACCCAGGAGTGTGGGGGAGAGTACCCGGGAGTAGGGGGGAGAGTACCCAGGAAAGGGGGGAGAGTACCCAGGAGTGGGGGGAAGACTACCCGGGAGTGGGGGAGAGAGTACCCAGGAATGGGGGGAGAGTACCCAGGAGTGGAGAAGAATACCCGGGAGTATGGGGAAGAATATCCAGGCATGGAGGGGAGAGTACCAGGAATGGAGGGCATCCCAAGAGTGGGAGGCAGTACCCAGGCTAAATCTGGAGGGGGCAATTAATGGCCAGTCCTGAGGACTACATGGTGTGCCTACAGCCACGTGGCTGTGAGGGGTGGCACCATGGCCACACAGAGGCTGAGAGTGTGGGGGAGAGGGGCCTCTGTGGTGTGTTTAAATATCCCATGTGGAAGGCAGGGAACTTAACCAATGTTCCACTGACATTTTCCTTTGAATCCAGACCCCTTTTACAGCAGGCCACGGCATGTCTGTGATTGCAGGTTTTCTGTGTCCACTTACATGCTGATGGGCACCTGGGTTATTCCCTATCTTGCTACTGTGGACTGTGCTGTGGTAAACACACATATAAAAAGTGTAGGTATCAGTGGTGCCCGTAGCTCAAGTGGCTAGGTGCTAGCCACATACACCAGAGCTGGCAGGTTCAAATCCAGCCCAGGCCGGCCAAACAACAATGACAACTACAACCAAAAAATAGCCAGGCATTGTAGAGGACACATGTAGTCCCAGCTATTCAGGAGGCTGAGGCAAGAAAAATCGCTTAAGCCCCAGAGTTGGAGGTTGCTGTGAGCTATAACACCACAGCACTCTACCCAGAGCGATAGCTTGAGGCTCTGTCTCAAAAAACAAACAAAAAAAAAGTGCAGGTGTCTTCCTGACAAGCCCACTTCTCTCCCTCTGGGTAGAGCCCCAGCAGTGGGGAGTGGATCAAACAGGAGGTCTGCTTCAGCTCTCTGAGGACTCCCCTTCATGTGTTCCGGTCTCACCAGCAGTCTAAGTGTCCCCTTCTCTCTGCGCCTTGCCGGCTTCAGCCCTTTTTTGACTTTTTAATGATAGCCATCTAACCAGTGTAAGATGGTATCTCATAAAAAAGAATGAAACCTTGTCTTTGGCAGCAACATGGAAGGAGGCCATTATCTTAAGTGAAATAACTTGGACAGAGAAGGTCAGATAACTCATGTCCTCACTTATGAGTAGAGCTGAGCCTCGGGGGTAGGGGAAAGAGCAGTGACTCAGAGGACACCGGCTGTGTGGCAGGGTGACAGCCACACAGGCTGTGTGGCAGAGTGATGGTTGCACAGCTGTGTGGCAGGGTGACGGCCGCACGGGCTGCGTGGCAGGGTGGTTTCCATGCTAAGAGCCTAGAATGCTACAAAGCATAGTCACATAACCAAGCTGCAGTGAAACCCCCAAGTCTGTAAAGTCTCTGTGAAACAATCCATCAAGAGACTTTAGCCTTTGGTGGTCCACTCAGAAAGGCAGGTGATGACCCAGCACTTTCCTTTGCACATGTGACTCCATCTGTCCTCCTTTGCATGGGCTTTGGGAAGAGAGTGAAATACCAAAATGAGGGGTTTTCTTCCAAACAGCTTGAGTGTGGGCCAGTTTCAGCTGTCAGGTGGGAGCCCTCTGCTCCCCTCTGCTTATCCCCTAACAAGAAGGGAAGGACTCCTGACCCAGTCTGCCTTTCACGGTGTTCCAGGACATTCTGTTTTGATGACAGAGTAGGATCCAGCAGCCCCATTCTTGAGTCTGAGGGTCTGGGTGGGGTGTGTGGAATGTGTGGCTGTGTGTGTCTGAGTCTGCATGTGTGTGTGAATTATGGTTTGTGTCCGTGTGTAGTGTATGAAGCTTCTCCACAGTGTGGAGCCCAGGTGCAGGGCCCAACCCTCAGGTTCCCTGGCCGCTGACCCCTCTGCCTCTCGCTGTCCTCCAGGAGCTGTGCCGCCAGCGCATGGCCGCACGGCCGCCCGACCGCCCAGAGGGCCCTCACGTGTCTCGTATCAACAGCATCTCATCCCAGTTCAGCGACGGGCCCATGCCGAGCCCTTCTGCACGGAGCAGCACCTCGTCCTGGTCTGAGGAGCCCGTCCAGTCCAACATGGACATTTCTACTGGCCACATGATCCTGGTAAGGCCCTGTCCTCTGTGTCAAGCACAAGGAGAGACAGGAAGTGGCTCATGCCTCTGCCCAGCCCCATCCTGCCCCAGGGGCCCTTGTGCTCATGGCAGGACTGATGGGACTGACCAGCCACCTCCTACCCCAGTGGCCCCTGAGCTCCCAGCAGAACTGATGGGAATGACCAGCCACTACCTGCCCCAGGGACCCCTGAGCTCTTGGCAGGACTGACAGGACTGACTAGCCACTGGCATGAGCAGCATGAGGCCCCTGAACCCAGCAGGCAGGACGTTCACGCCCTGAGATCCTTAACGCTCCTCCACCCAGAGTGCGCAGCCCCACTTGTGTCCATGATGTGAGCGATGTGGCGAGGTGCCTTGTTTTCCATGGTGCGATCACACATCTGTGGTGCCTACTGTGTGTGCTGCTTTTCCTGTCCTTGGACTCCCAAACAGTGAGGTTTCCTTCAGCCTCAGCTCCCTGCTCCCCAAGCCTCGCAGGGTGAACGAACGTCAAATGTCATTCATGAGCTCCCTGTAACTGAGGGAGCTGGGGTGCGGGATGGATTTGGGGCTCAGGCCTCACAGGAGCATTTCTAGGGGTGCCAGCCCAGATGTGTGGGAGTTTTCCACCACCCTTTCTGCAGTGATGCGCCTTTCCCTGGCCAAGGGTCCCCTTAGGTGACACAGAGGAGGTGTCTGGCCTCACCCCTCAACCTGTCGTTAATGCCTGGATCCTCACTGAGTCATCCCCCGCTGGTGACTAGGAGCTAAAGCACAGAACAGGCCATGCACCTCTGGTAGGGAGAGTAGGACCTGCTGCTGGTGGGAGCAGCCTCCACACTTAGGTCCAGGGACACAGGATGGCTCACGTGCTCAGGAAAGGGCCCTGGAGTCCTCATCAAACATGCATGTTAATGAAAACACTTTCTAGAAACTATCTAATCACAATCTAGACGGGTGGGATTAGACCAGCAGTTCTCAACCTGTGAGTCACAACCCACAGAACTGTATTAAAGCGCCACAGCATCAGAAAGGTCGAGAACCACTAGATTAGACCATAGGAAGCTGGAAAACCATGTTTTCTCTGAAAAGCCTCATTGCAGAGCCTGGGGATCAAGCTGGGACCCTGCATAGAGGAGATATCAGGGAGATTGAGGCACACGGCAGCCGGACTCCCAGAGAACTTAAGTGGAAATGAGTGAAGAAGCTCAGCCCCCTGGTCTGTGGGCTGCTCTAACCTGATTCCCACCAAAGCTGGGCAGGGCCCAGGCCCAGCCCACTGCCTACACTGACCTGCCCTCCCTGTGCACAGGTCGGGAAGCCCACAGTTCCCACAACTGGGAAAAGAGTGCAGGCTCCGTTAGCAGACACACAGACTCCTCCGGCACTTCCGTCCTCGGCTGAGACAGAGCTGCCTCCCTCAAACACAGTTACTGCCGAACCAGCTCTTCAGAGAATGTTTTGACATTTGTCCCTTTTAAAAAAGGAACCTGGACTGAAATTTGGGATTAGTGATGAGATTCAGTATTAGGGTCACCTCACCAAGCACATGTCCATCTGACACGTCGTCAGCCGAGGGAGGCTGGCGCAGAGAGCTCTCGCGGTCTGAGTCCTCACTTGATTCAAGACACAGACGTTACACTTCGATGACATCTTAAGTCCTGTTGGTGCATGGAAAGACTGATTTTTCATTGAAAATCATGTTTTGCCATTCACGTGTGTAATGTCAAACCTGAAAGCAAGTTCAGTGGCTGATTTTCCTTCAAAATGCCTAAACCACAAGAATGGGCCCTGTCTGGTCCAAGAAGCCCTTTAATGCCCAGACTCTGTCCTGGCTTTCTGTGTCCCCTCCCCATCAGCTATGTGTGTGGAACCCCACACACATACTGTGAACTCGAGGGAAGCTGGACTTTTTGTGGGAATTGATGCTTTTGAAAAATTGAGCAAACCAAGTACGTTTCCCTCGCTCTGGGAATGTAGGCAGTTCCGTGTGAGAGGTGGCTATGACCAGAGAGCAGGGTCAGCGGAGTGGGTCCTGCTTGTACCTCGGGGTTCGAATGCTTTCTCTCCACTCAGTAGCTGTGATTCTCCCCTTTTGCTATGGTTTCAGGTAGGCTTGAGGGCTCTCAGCCATGTGGTGTGTCCCCACAGGCACTTCCCAGTATAGGAGCCAACAGCCTGGGGATGCACAGTCAGCTTCTTGCCAGAATTCCCACCCACTAGGTGCAGGTCCAGTGACTGTTCTCAGAGGCTCAGAAACTACAGACCTGTCCTCAGGGACAAGGCCATGGGAGCACCTCAAGGATGTTCCCTTGCAGAAAGCCTGCTTATGTCAGGCCACTGAGACATGCTGGGAAGGCTGACTTTCCAGCTCATTAAAGCAACAGGGAAGGTAACTCCATCATGATCAGTCATGACCGTCTGTGAGGAGATGCTCGTTTTCATCAGACAGCAAACCCCATGGTCTTGGGAACTACACAGTGAGGGTTCTGGGACTGCCACATAAACCATGCAAAGTCCACGTGAAGACTTCGGGCAAAATGCAACATTTGAACATACAAGTGCCATGACATGAACAGCAAAACACCAGGGCAGAAGCAGGACTCTCCACGAAACAGGGAGGAAGTTGTCCAAGGCACCTAGGAACATGTGACTGCCCCAGACCTGTTGCTGGGGTACAGACCTGGGGCACCTTCTTCAGAGGAGAGCACAGGGCATCTCGAAGGCTGAGTACCCCAGGATGCTAAAGGTGGTGCGTTTCCCTGCAAGGCTAGGCCAGGCTATGCTCTGGTTCCCTTTATGAGCAAAGCACTGTGACCTCTGCTAGAAGCCCAAGTAGCAGGACTCCAGAAGTAAAGACCCCCTCTGAGGAGTGAACAGAGGATACAGGTGGCCTGGGAGGCTTCTCACGGAGGAGGGGAGATAGGAGGCCCCATGGTAAGACTGTGTGGGCTGCACATCACCCAGGGAGACCAGCCATTTGCTTTGTCAAGGGCAGCATCATCGGAAAGAGGGCATCACATCACCTGACTGCAGGGAAGGACTGAATTGCCTGGTCCAACTGTCCCAGAAGGTGGCAGGAGAGGGGCAGCGTGGGCTGGAAACACATGTCCCAGGAATCTCAGCTGCTCAGAGTCTGAGGTCAGGGGGGACAGAAATGGCAGGGGCAGTGGGCAGCCTACGGGCACCCTCGCCAACTCTCCCATGCCCACTCAGTGGTTAGGTCTGGAGATGGAGCACAGGCTCCAGATCACAAGTACAGGGTCCAGCTGAGAAGCAGCACTGCCAGCCCATCTTTGAGCTGGACAGGTCCAGCCTCTGCTCTCTCACCTGTGAGATAGAGCAGCAAGGCACGCCCATCCCCAGGTTCTGGAGGGGAGACTCAGAGCAGCACTGGATAGGCCTGTCCTGGGGCCTTACTGACACTTGGAGCCGAGTTCAGCTGTGAAGGGGAGGTTTGCACAAAGGACCAGTGCCCACAGGGCCTTCACCCCTTGGGTCTGGGCAGCCAGCATCCTGGGCTCCACTGTCCTCTGCATGCCCTACTGTCCTCTGCATGCTCCACTGTCCGCTGTGAACCCCACCATCCTCTGTGACCCCACTATCCTCTGCATACCCCGCTGTCCACTGTGAACCCCACCATCCTCTGTGACCCCAATGTCCTCTGCATGCCCCACTATTCACTGTGCACCCCACTGTCCTCTGTGTGCCCCACTGTCCATTGTGCACCCCACTGTCCTCTGTGCACCCCACTGTCTGCCCCACCCCCCACCCGTCCTCTGCACACTTCACCTGTTCTGTTTCTAGGTCTTGGATTCATTCCTTGTTATGCTTTGCCTTTATTTTCTTAGAAAGTGCTTTTTTAAAATTCCAGTTCTCTTTCGATGGAACTAAGGAGAGCAGGGCTTTATCCACAGGGAAAACTGCCCCAGCATACCACCTACCCTGGAAGAATGAACGGGTAGCCAGGCATAGAGGGAAGGGCGCCCAGGAGGCTGGGCTGACCGTCAGGGAAGGCAAGTTGCTCCCCAGGGTGGCAGAGCTCACAGGCAGGAGGAGAGAGGCTCCTTGGGAAGCTCATCTCTGAGAAGTGTCTGCCAGGTGAGATAGGCGATGTCTGGAACCCAAAAAGCAAGTGATGTGCAAAGTGGCTAGGAATTTTTATGAAAGTTACTGTATTTTAAATGTGTGAGGGATGTGGCTTCTTGGGAAATTCTCTTGCTTCCTTTTATAAGGTAAAGAGTCCTCGTTGAATTTACCTTTTTAAAAGATCTATTTCTGCATTACTTTTGCTCTCAGAAAGGTGATGTCTTTGTGTGACCACTTATGTGAGGATATGAAAAACAGGATAACTGTCCTGAATTACTAATTACACATGAGTCAACCCTAAGTCCTGGTATAAACAGGAAACACATGCAGACACATGCTTGTGGGCAAACAGATGGGTGTGGACAGGAAGCCCTCCTGCAGTGCATGTGGACAAACGTGGGTGTGGACAGACATGTTGCTGTGGATGGACATGTGGGTGTGGACAGGGAGCCTCCTGCAGCACGTGTGGACAGATGTGGGTGTGGACAGGGAGCCTCCTGCAGTGCGTGTGGACAGACATGTGGGTGTGGACAGGGAGCCTCCTGCAGTGCGTGTGGACAGACATGTGGGTGTGGACAGGGAGCCTCCTGCAGTGCCTGTGGACAGGCGTGTGGGTGTGGACAGGGAGCCTCCTGCAGTGCCTGTGGACAGGCGTGTGGGTGTGGACGGGGAGCTTCCTGCAGCATGTGTGGACAGACATGTGGGTATGGACAGGGAGCCTCCTGCAGTGCGTGTGGACAGACGTGTGGGTGTGGACAGGGAGCCTCCTGCAGTGGATGTGGACAGACATGTCAGACATGTGGGTGTGGACAGGGAGCCTCCTGCAGCGCATGTGGACAGACATGTGGGTATGGACAGGGAGCCTCCTGCAGTGTGTGTGGCCAGACATGTCAGACATGTGGGTGTGGACAGGGAGCCTCC